GCAGACCCTTCAGCTCCAGAGGGCTTTGAGAGGTGCAGAGTCAAGGACAAAAGCCGCAGCACTCCAGCGCTGGTGCACACCGGGTTTGGACGTGCTGGCTGTCCCCAAAGCGGCATGGGCATCTGGGGGAGCAGCAGGTCACTCCTCTCCCTGCTGTGGTGGGGATGTCCATACCCTGCCTGCTTTCCCCCAGTGTTAGCCCAGCACTTCCCGATTTTGAGCTGCCAGCAGAGGCAAAGCCTTAAAATAGGCCCAACGGTTTTAAAGAAAAAAAATAAAAAAAACCACCCCAAATTTGCCTTCCCTCTCCCATCCCCCCCAAACCCACAGCCCATGAAGTTTCCGGCAGAGCTCACTTCTGCCGAGCACAGGAAAAGCGGAACGGCAGAGGCACCCCTCCTGGCCTGGCGGGGGGGAGGGGTGGGGTGCCAGGAGGGCGTGGAAGGTGTGGACCAAGTGGGAGATGAATCCCCCAGGGAGAGCGAGAGGTGAGGCCTGGGGACCCAGCACCCCAACACCATGGACTGCCTTCCAGTCCTGGGAAACTTGGAGGTTGGGAAATTGGAGGGGGAGTGATGGTGGGAAAGGAAAAGGTGGGAAAGGAAAGCTGAAATGGGTCAGATGCTCCGTCAGGCTTTGGATAAGCTCCTCCAGCCAGGGAGAGACTAAAATTTCCTAAAGGTCTTATCCCCTTTGAACTCTAAAACCCTTGGGAGGGGATTGATCAAGTGGGGAACTGCAGCTCCAGCAGCAGGAAAGCTTGGCAAGGGGTCTGGAGACCTGGACCTGAAATCAGCCCCATCCTTAAGACCAGTGGGTGGAGATCAGCCATCTCCTTTCCTCGCAGCAATCGCTGGGCACATCTGATTTCCTGGCAATGTTAGTTGTTGTCTCTCCTCTGTTGTTTTATCAGCAGAGGCTGTAGAAATTGAGGTCTGTGTGCTCCAACGCAGAGTTCAAGAAGGCAGATGAGTAGCAGAGACCACATCTGTCTGTGGTGGAGGCAGAGATAAGCTCAGCTGAGGTGTATCACCCAGAAATACCTTAGAATCAGACTGGATTCGAGCTGAGCATTCAGGGAGCTTGGGGGGTTGCCTGATTTTTCGCCTCCAGCTTCAAAGCTTGCATTAGCATTTCTCCCCAAGGCTTCTTGATGTTGATAGGAAAAAAAACCCACGAGCCAACCCTTGAGTGACAATGAGAGGAGAAAGGTGTGTCATGTCCTGTCACTAATGGTTGCAGCAAGTGTTTTGCCTGACACCTGACAGCAATTAGCCTTGGCTGAAGACTTCACTGGAAGCTTCAAAAGGTGCTGGGAGGCTCCACGCTCGAACAAAGGGGAAGCTTTGGCTGCTGGAGGGGGGAGGCAGGAGTTTCTTGGTGTGATCTGTGTAATTCCCAGCATCGCTCTAGTCTTCATCGTTCACCTTTCGGGAGCAAGGAGGTGATGCTGGGGGTGGCCCAAGGCTGTGGAGCCTTCCTGCTCCCCTCTCGGTTTGGCAGAGGGTAGGTGAGGGCACTGGGGCTGGTGCAGGGGGTTCCTGGTGAGGTGGTGTTGGATTATCCCCTTCTCTTTTTCCTGCTGGGGTTTCAGCTCTCTGGAGGGGTCTTTTCTGGAGCACCGTAAATTCAGACCCCAGCCTTTAGAGATACATTGCAAAAGTTTGTAGGGTGGCACATCCCTCCCTCCCTAGCTGTATTTTAGAATTTTAACGGAACGTGGAACTCGAGAGCAAAAGTAGCGAGGAAGAATAACTAACTCCCTTTTTCTTTTGAGAATACAGAGAACTACTTTCACTCCCAGTTTGTGTAACAGCTTTGGGTGCAGCTCTAACATTCTCCTGCTTTTACTTGAAATAATTAAACACTTGCTCAGCTGTGGTGATTTCCACTCCCCAAATGGAGGAAGGAAGTGTTTACTTGCTGTTTGGGGCTACCTTCTCTCACCCTGTGGCTAGGTCAGCTCTCTGATCTCTTCTCCTTGAGGACAAAGGTCTTTTCAAGCTGACCTGTGCATGGACAGAGTAAGGAGAACCCTCCTAAGACCACTTAAAGGGTGCTGGAGGTGTGAGCAGTGGGTCTTGTGATGGAGCTGCTAGGAAAGTAAATCCTGAGGCTCCCTGTTGTAAAAGCACAGTGAGGAGATACAGGGAGAAAAAAGGTGCTGGGTTTGCTTAAACAATGAACCTTCTCTATTTAACTGTGGGCAGCTTATATGGAAGAGGAGCTTGGGTTAGAAAGTGTCCTGGAAATCCTAATTTAGACATAGCTTGCTCTGCTTCCCCACACAAACTGGCACACGCCGGCAAAGTCCTGCTGATGCTGGTGTGGCACTGGTGGTCTGCTCTCTTTTGTGAACTGGAACCGCTATATATAGGAAACCACTCTGGTGTCAGCCTGGTGTGTCAGCCTTCCCAAAAGAAGCAAGAAGCTTTGAGGTGGAGCTCTGGGGAGGTGGCTACTGGGGTTGTCCCGCCCTGGTGAGACAACGTGGTGCAGGATGAAGGAGCCGAGCCTCCTGCCTTGACAGTGGGAGGCCAAGGTGTGTGGGATGCTTGCCTTACACCAGGGCAAGATAACCTGATAGGTAGTGGGTTTGTTACTCTCAATAAAGCCCTGGAGGCTTCAGGTAGCCCTTGACCTTAGTTGCTACATGGCCATGCACAACCCTACATCATGGGCTGTCTTCTGCAGGGTACTTGAGCCTGAGCAACGTGACGACTCATGAGGCAGGTTCTCCTTGGCCGTGGGGTCCAAGATAAGAGATTGGCTTTTCTCCAACTCCCCCATCTCCTTCCTTCTGGGACTTCCCACCCTGTGAGCTGCAGGGAGGCCATGTATGGTCACCGTCTCTTTGCCATGTCTGTCCCCAGCTGTCCTGAATTCTCCAGATCCTTAGGGGAGTCTCCAGGGTCCTTGCTAGGATGACTGCCGTTGCTAAGTATACTCGTGGTTGGAAGGAGGTTGTCTGGGAAAACTGATACACGGAGAAGCTTTGGACACCTCGGGGCATTGGATTCCTTGGGGGAGGGATGGAGGGATGGCTGATCCCTGTTTGGGAGTAAGTGATCACAGTTTGACCCAGCTGGGCTCATTAAAGTGGAAAAATAGTGTGGAAATGAGCAGGGGAGGGCCAGATGGATAATTTAATGAAGGCGGGCAATGCTTTAGTGTTTTCAAATTGGATATAGGTGCTCTAGCACTGGCAACAGGGATAAAGAACTGTCTCTAATTATAGGGTGGTATCAGGTGCCTTAATTGTCCCTTTCTTCTTGAAAAAAAAAACCAACAAACCACCAACAAAAAAAAAGCGCCTGCCTTGCCTTTGAGCTTATTTTGCAATGTAAAGCTATGGGTTTGTCAATGTAAAGCTATGGGTTTGTCAATGTAAAGCTATGGGTTTGTAGGGGTGTGTGAAAGTAAGGGATTGCCCGGCAGCTTTTATTTGAATTTTACTTTTATTAAAACACAGAAGGCTCTCTGCTGGCTGGAGGGCTGCCTGTTTTAAAATTCTTGATTTCATACTGGACCTGTGTAGCACCTTTCCAGATTTTGGCCAGGTGTCTTCGGTTGCCCAAGGTGTTGTCAGTGATGCTTAACACCTATATTTAGGCACCTGGATTCCTCCCTGATTTCCCAATATCGTCTAGCAAGCACAGGTCACTGCTGAGATTTGAGCTGAGCTCTCCCGAGGCTTGGCCAGATACCAGTCCATCCTCAGCCTGCCTGGGTGCTCCACAGAGGCTCAGTCCCGAATGGGTTAACCAGCCTGGCTTGAAGCCCGTGTGTGTTTTCCTTGCCTCATCCTAACACACACCAGATGTGTGAGGCAGCCGCTGGAGTGTCTTAATCCCAGGTTTCGGCACTCGGAGTTGTCTTTCTCACGGGCAGGTCTGCAGTGGCTTTCTGGGGGCTCCACCACCACTCGTGCAATGCCTGAGTTGGATGAAATATCTTCTGTTCTTTGCTGCTTAAACGAGTCACCCCTGGGGATGGGCTGGTGGGGCTGGCAGCGTTGCTGATGCTGATAGCTCTGTCTTGAGTCGTATGGGGTGAGTGCCAAACCCGGGAGCTGCTCAGGTTCTCCCTATCTCAAAGAAGTGGTGGTTCCTCACCTGTCCAGGGAATACCTGGGTAAAGAGGAAAATATAGAAGCAAAGCCAGCACAGTTTATTAATGAAACGGCGGTCAGTGGTCTTCTGTTAGGAGCTCTATTGGTGAGTTGCACCCAGTGGTCTGGAAACTCGGAGCCACCCGGGAGCGACCAGTCTGAGACGTGCAAGACTTGGTTTTGTTTGGATTTCTCTTGCTGTTGCACAGACGTGTAGGTTTGCTAAGGTACCTCAGCACTGTCCCACAGGCTGCCAGAGAGTTGTGCTGGTTTGCAGCAGCTGGAGGTCTTTGATTTCAAAACGAGAAAGAACCGACTCTTCTTTACCAAGAAGCCTCCCTCCCAACTCTAGGTATCTGGTGCTTGCTGCAGCTAAATAGACACTGTGTACAATGCC